GTTGACTCATGTTAAGCTTGTGTTCCACCAAGACCCCAGGTCCTTTTCACATGTACTGCTAGTAAGCCAGGTGTCACCCATCCTATATTGGTGCATCTGGTTCTTCCTGCCTAAGTGCAGAAACTTACATTTGTCCCTACTGAAATCCATTTCATTAGCTTGCACCCAGTTCTCCAATATGTTAAGGTCATTTTGAATTTTGATTCTGTATTCTGTGGCATTAGCTATGCCTCACATCATCTGCAAATTTGATAAGCACCCCCTCAAATCATCCAGATGACTAAAGGGTTTAAAATACCCACCCACCCCCCACAAAGAAAATTAAAGCTAGGACCACCACACCCACATATAAAAACCAAATGCTTATTTGCATTAAAAGCAAAGGTGCATTAAATGTTGGCTGAGGAGCGTTCAAAACGGAGGGGGCTTTCCTTGCCCCCATGCAAAGAGCCTCCTTCTCCGGAAATGTTGAGAAACCTAAATCTGTGAGACAGAGTTGCTATGACGACTGTACTTCGAGAGCATGGTAACCATGGGGAACAACCATCTGACGCACCCGGCCACCAGCAACTACTGTTGAGGATTTTGCCCTCATGTCTAGTGCATGTGCCGACTGTATACTATTATCCTGCTTTTACAAATATCACCCAAAGCTGCTTTCAAGGAGTTTCAAATAAACACAAGTTTCAGCCCAGGGAAGCATTCTAGAAGGGGTCATGCACACCTCTTAAGGACCAGGTTTGCTGCTTTGTGATGCAAGTCCTGGCCAGGATTAAAATGCATCTTGTGCCTTTAAGCATGCTTTTAGTAAGTTGGCAACCCTGTTAAACAGAAGCACTTGTGTAGTTGGCTACCGAGTACCTTAATGTTATCAGAGACGTTTATGCTTCATGTATATTTACATATACCTGTATATATATATTTAAAAGTGTATCAGACCTCTTTATTCTATCCCTTTCAAAGTTAAGTACAAAAAATTCCTTCCAGTAGCACCTTAAAGACCAACTAAGTTAGTTCTTGGTATGAGCTTTCGTGTGCATGCACACTTCTTCAGATACGTAAGCTGTGTTTTAACCCAGCTGGATTGAAATATTGAGTTGCGGGCTTTGCAGGGCAGGATGTATCAGCTTTGATGAGAAATAACTCAAGCCTTAGTGACTGCAGAGCAACCGGAACTGAACAGTTGCATTTGTGTGTGTGTGTGTGTGTGTGTGTGTGTGTGTGTGTGTGTGAGAGAGAGAGAGAGAGAGAGAGAGAGAGAGAGAGAGAGAGAGAATGGATTTTGCTTACAGGAAGGCAAAGAAGCACGTTTTGTCTAGCAGATGAGCAAGCTGGCAATATCTGAAGTGTCAGCAATCTGGATTCTTTGTTGCTTTATAAAAGTTCACGTGAATGCATGAGAGAACAATTCAGTGGTACCTTGGGTTACAGACGCTTCAGGTTACAGACTCCGCTAACCCAGAAATAATACCTCAGGTTAAGAACTTTGCTTCAGGATGAGAACAGAAATTGTGCGGCAGCAGCAGGAGGCCCCATTAGCTGAAGTGGTACCTCAGGTTAAGAACAGTTTCAGGTTAAGAACGGACCTCCAGAACGAATTAAGTTCTTAACCTGAGGTACCACTGTATTAAGGTAATTCAAGCCAGGATCTTGGCAGAGAAGAATGCGGTTTTCATAAGCCAATTGCCATTATGGATTCTATAGGAAAGAACTTTTCTTTTTTGCTGGGAGATGCAATCAGGGCCAGTCCAAGGCATTTTGGCACCGAGGTGAACCACAAAATGGTGTCTCCCACCCCACCAGGGAAGAAGGGGTGAGTGAAAATCTATATCAGAATCTGCTGTCCCTGTGGATTCTGCTGCCCAAGGCAGTTGCCTCACTTTGCCTTATGGGTGGGCCGGCCCTTGATGCGACTATGAAAACAGTTCCCTCTCAATTCCAATTTAGAAAAGACAATATGGGGCAGAGAAGCCAGTGGTAGAGAAGACCCAAGTGGAACTTAGAAGACCAATTGGGAAATAGTTTACAGTTAGAAGAATTACAATTCAGCGGAGACTTGCTGCTGCACTAGAGGGTAGGATCTGAACTAGTGGCTTCAAATTACAAAAAAGGAGACTTCAGCTAAACAGGAAGCGTTTTCCGATGGCAAGAGCTTTTGGGGACGTAACACCTTGCTGTGTAAATATTTTTAGATAATTAAACTTGGAACCTTCAATTTTTTTTAATCTGGTTCTTTTTCCTTAAACACTTGCAAAGGAAGTCCTCAGACGGTAGTCTGATTGTCCAACCTTGCATTCCTTTTTGCAAAGAATAATTCCTGAACCGTGTGTCTCGGGCCTGTGTGTGTTGCACCCTGCACAAAAATGGAACTGGGTGAAGGAAAATGTGGCGTCCTCTGTTATAAAACTTGCATGTGAGAGGAATGCAATGCATAATTAGAATGAAAATAAATTTATTGAGAAGCCGGCCTTGTTTTTGCATTTCTGGAACAACAACGTAAACAACAATATTCTTCACTTTTGATTTATTCGGTGGTACTGTAGAGTTTTTGTTACATTGCCCCTTCCGCCTCCCCCTCCCTCCATTCCATTTTCTATTCTTGCCTTTCCTTGTTTTTATTTCATTTTTTTTCCCAGTGTGAGAATCATAGGGTGTTTGATGCATAATTGGTTTGGGCTGCAAATTGTAATTACATAACTTTATTTAAGAAACACAAACAAACAATTCAAAAAACAGAACCCAAGTGCAACAGGAACTCTCCCCACGTGTGATACTTGGAAGCAGGCAGCCTCCAGCTACAGGCAGAGCATAGCCATCAGGGCTAGTGGTCACTGACAGCCTTGCCCTCCAGGAATTTGCCTAAGATTTCCTCAGCAAACCTGCCTTCTGGGGACAAGGCCTTCAGTGGGAGCAGCTAAATAATTCCCAGCATAAACTTGTGCAGCTGGGGCCTTTTGTTACTGCCTCTTAATTATGTCTTGCAAAGCCTGCCCTAATCTTTTGGACTTTTAAGTTTAATTTTAATTGTTATCCCATTCAGAATCCTACTTTTCCTCCAAAGAGCTTGAGATGGTGTACATGATGGTCTACCCTTCTCCATTTTCTCCCTTATAGCAACCCTGCGTGGTAGACCAGGCTGAGAGACAGTCATCGGTCTGAGGTCACCCAGTGAGATTCATGGCTGAGTCAGGATTTGAACTCGGGTCTCCCAGGTCCTAACCCGACACTCCAACTACTACACCACTCTGGCTCTAATCTGATCTGTCTTTTAGTATATTTGCTCCCCCTCCCCATTTATTTTTTTAATTGTCATTGATTCTGCTCCTGTTTTTATTGTTATACTTCTTTTTGTATCTGATTGTTAACTGTCTTGAAACTCTGCAAGAAGGCAAACTGTGAATACATAAATAAATATTTTACCATGCACCAAGGAGGAAATCGATTTAAAAAAACAACAGGCCCTCGTTGCATTTGTTCCATAGGGTTAATGTGCTTTTGGTACCTTATTGCGTTTGCATCACTCTCCCTGTTTCACCTGTGTGGGGATGCTCTTTAAACACTTAAAATGTGAACTGGAATCTACTATCTTCCCTTTCAGAGATGTAGCTTCAGAGTGGCCTGAAGCTACCCTTACCCAGCCCCCGTCAGGGATATTAAAGGACCGCCCCCTTCCTCTAGAAATTTTGGCCATCATTTTAAAAAGCATGTCTCTCATCTCCTTTACTTGTGGTGAAATAACAGCAACTGTACAGACATATTTCTTCCCAGTAGCTCATTAAGAAACAATGCAAGTAAATAGCATTTAGACTTTGGTAAGCTACCTACCTGTATTTATATTCTGCCTGCTCTGCTAATAAAGCAGAATAGCATGCAGATGGCCTGGTATAAATCCACTCCAATGCACAATTATGGCAGCAACTGAGGGAAGGGCCATATTTCAGTAGTAGAGCACCTGCTTTGCATGCAGAAGGTTCCAGTTCTACCCCACCCCCCAGCATCTCCCAGGTAGGGCTGGGAGAGACGCTTCACTGAAGCCCCGGAGTGCTCCTGCCTGCTGTATAGATGGACCAATGGTCTGAGTTACTGTAGAATGTTGTTGTTTAGTCGTTTAGTCGTGTCCGACTCTTTGTGACCCCATGGACCAGACCATGCCAGGCAGTCCTGCCTTCCACTGCCTCCCGCAGTTTGGTCAAACTCATGCTGGTAGCTTCGAGAACACTCTCCAACCATCTCATCCTCTGTCATCCCCTTCTCCTTGTGCCCTCCATCTTTCCCAACATCAGGGTCTTTTCCACGGAGTCTTCTCTTCTCATGAGGTGGCCAAAGTATTCGAGCCTCAGCTTCAGGATCTGTCCTTCCAGTGAGCACTCAGGGCTGATTTCCTTAAGAATGGAGAGGTTTGATCTTCTTGCAGTCCATGGGACTCTCAAGAGTCTCCTCCAGCACCAGAACTCAAAAGCATCAATTCTTCTGCGATCAGCCTTCTTTATGGTCCAGCTCTCACTTCCATATACATCACTACTGGGAAAACCTTAGCTTTAACTATACAGACCTTTTTCGGAAGGTGATGTCTCTGCTTTTTAAGATGCTGTCTAGGTTTGTCATTGCTTTCCTCCCAAGAAGCAGGCGTCTTTTAAATTTGTGAGTGCAGAATACAGCTGCCCAAAATAAAACCAGTTTGTGGGTAGCCCTCTGGCCCTATCCATCAGGACTAATGATTGCTGGTGGAAAGAGAGATACAGAGAGTTTTACGTTTTTTTGTATCATTGCAACCTGTTGCTTATATGATCACTTTGGGGAACTATTTGATCGAAAGGCAATGGTGTAAATCTCACACAAAAAGTAAAAATAGATCGCTTGGATTTGCTCCTCGGGCCCCTTCTTGGTGTCAGATCTCTCTTCCCAAACACCTCACTAACTGCGCGCGCGCACAGCGAGAGGCAGAGCCAGAGAGCGAGCTGAAATCGGATCAGAAGAGGAGAGGAGGAGGGGGGGGGGGAAAGGGTGCCCCTGATTTGCTGCTCGGAGCATGAATGCAGACGGGAGAAAGCGAGACGTGCTAGGACCCAGAGGCTTGCAAAATCCAAGCGAGTCATCTTTTCGTCTGGATCCCAGAGGTTTAGCAGCAGCTTCTGGTGGTGGGATGTGTGCAAGTGAAGCTGGTACCAGCCCAGAGGAGAGCTCCTTTCCTGGTGAAATCTAGAATTGGATCGAGGGCGCATCGGAAGATCAAGAAGGTGGCATGCATGGCTTTTGGGGGTGTTTTTGTCTTGTGGGGTAGAGGCGGGGGGGGGCGGGCGGCGGGGAGGTGGAGAAGCTGCCAGTGTCTAGAAACGTTAAGATATAACGCTGGTTTCTCTCTGGTTGCCCCTAGATCTGCTTCGTAGGTTTGGTTGCCTGAGAGCAGGCTGATGAGTTTGACAACAAACAGGCCTCCCATGGAAACGCATTGTTAAATATTTGTTTGGGTAAACGTCTTGGGGCTCCTCCAAATGGACCCAGGTGTCCGTACCATCCGTTACACTTGGCTAAGCTTTTTATGTATGTGCATGCTAACGATTTATTTGACAAATCTCCAAAGGATAAGGGTAGGTTTAAAGAGAAGGATGGTGGGTTTTGGGGGGCAGGGTGGTTGTGTGTATTTTATATATATATATTGTGTGTGTGTGTGTGTGTGTGTGTGTGTGTATGAGAGAAGTGCATTCATATAACAGAGTGGTGATATTTCTAGCTAAGAAGACTCCATATATATATATATATATATATATATATATATATATATATATATATATATATGGAGTATAGCAATGCAGAAGGAAGGGGTAAATGAAAAGAGGAAGCTGTAAAAACTCAGTCAGTGCACTCAGCATTGTTTACAGTACAACTAGTAGTGGCTCTCCAGGAATTTGGACTGGGGTCTCATTGAACCCTGCCTGGAGACCCTTGAGATTGAATCTGGGACCTTCTGCATGCCAGTCAGATGCTCTTCCGCTGAGCTATGGCCCTTCCTGACATACAAGTAAAGGAGCACAGAAGGCAGAGTGGAGTGTCTTTTTAGGGGGCGGGGGGATGTCTTACTTGTAAAGTTTCTTGTCTGTACACTCTCCAGTATGGGATGGAAGGATTTACTTGGGTCAGTGAAGCATAACTGCTCAGCTTTCTTTGATTAACTTCCTTGCACCACCACACACACACCCCCGGCCACTCCTAAGAATATATTTTTTACTTATTTGCATCATTGTGCACTGCACTTTCAAGGCAGTGCAAGTTATAAAATATACAGGGAACAAGATGTGAGATTGTGATTGTATTGCACAATCCAAAATCTCTCTCTGGTTGGCAGATGTTGCATTAACTACATATACGCCATACATGTAAAGCACATTCCCCCACTCCCCAAATAATAATGAAAACTGTGATTTGTTAAGGGTGCTGGGAATTGTAGCGCTCACAGCAGCAAACCACAGTCCCAAGGATTTGTGGGGAGTGGGGGGAAACTGCGCATTAAATGCATGGTGTGAAGACGGCCCTCGTATGTGGTTGGTCAAGATGTGCTGAGCCAGCACTGGATCCCCACTTTGAGTCACTTTTGCATTTTGTGCGTTTGTGCTGTGGGATCTGACATAACTCAGCTTTATTTTATTTTATCCCTAACGCAGCCTTTGCCAACCAAGGTTGGTGGTGCCTGCCCTAATGAAAGCAGCTGTTTGGAAAAAAACTGTTGCCTTGGGGCAGGGAATGATTCCAAATTTGGCCTTCTGGCACCTGGCATCATGTGCTTTGCTCAAGTTTAGCCAGAGAGAAAGCCTTCGACTCCAACCAGCAGATTGGCCCATGCGGGTCTGAGGCTGCTTTCGATTTGATCCCCCACCAGCAACCGTGTTTGAAAAGCCAGCCCATCTGCTTTATTTTATTTTACTTTTAAACACCATTTGCTTTTGCAGGCCTCTGAGAGCAGGGCTGCTGGCCTGTGTGCCTACCGTCTTGTTGCGATGCTTGAATAAAAGGAGCAAGCACACAGGCTGCATGATGGAAGGATGGTCTGGCAACTGGGGCTGGCAGCACCTCATGGCTCCCCACGAAGGAGAAGACCCTCCCAACCATGCTCCCGACTTTGTTCATGTGAGACATCCTGCCTTGGTAAGGAGGGAGACACTGACCTGGATTTTTAATATGTTCTGTTAGAGCTTAAATCAGGCACAGGCCCAAATGCCCAAACAGCACTTATTTATCTGCTTGTTTTAAAACATTTGTACCCAGCTGAAGTTCTGAAGGCGGCATGCAATATATTTAATGTCTGCTAAAATAGACAATGGCATAATCAATACTGGGAGTGGGGCAAAGATGTAGAGTAAATCTACACCCCCACCAACCTCAGCCTGCCACCAGCCAGACCCTGCCCCCCTGCCTTCTTACCTAAATCCAGCCCAGGGGGTCGTCCTGCCTGCCATCTTCCTCCTCCTTAGTCTCAGTGCTGCCCCTTCTAGATCTCAGCAGGGAGAAGGAACATGGAGATAAAGAATGAATTGGCTCTGGCTGTCATTGGCCTTGCACTACAGACATCAATTTATATGTATACCACCTTTTCAGAGTTCAAACCATGCTCAAGGAAGCTTATGACATAACAAATTACAGAATTCCGAACAAAACCAAATGTAGTCACAAACAAGAAATAAAACACATCAAAAATAAACAACCAAACTGATTGATTTCCACATAAATAATTAGATCTTAAAACAGAGATAGAAAAAATTAATATCAACAGCAGCAATAACCTCCCCCCCCAAACAATACCCTCCATTCTAAATGTCTGTTTATCAGCCTCAGCTTTTGCAGCTGGAGTCAGTCAGGATCCCACCCTCACATGTGGGAAAGGCCAGCAAGAGGGGGGTGGGGAGCAGGTCTTTCGGGGCTCCCAGCCAAGATGGTCTCTGGCCTCTTCAGGTAATCAATAATCTGTTTGGTTGCCTATGATCAGGGCCTGTCCAAGACATTCTGGCCCCTGAGGCCAACCTCAAAATGTAATCCCCCTCCCCACTGTGGTCTAAACCACTGAGTGCTGTAGTCTAAACCACAGCCTTTTGGGCTTGCCAATCAGAAGGTTTGCTGTTTAAATCCCTGGGACGGGGTGAGCTCCTGATGCTCTGTCCCAGCTCCTGCCAACCTAGCAGTTCGGAAGCATGCCAGTACAAGTAGATGAATAGGCACCACTGCGGCGGGAAGGTAAATCCCATTTCCGTGCGCTCTGGTTTCCATCACGGGGTTAGTTGTGCCAGAAGCAGATTAGTCATGCTGGCCACATGACCTAGAAAGCTGTCTGTGGACAAATGCCGTCTCCCTTGGCCTGAAGCGAGTTGAGTGCCGCAACCCCAGAGTCGAACTAGGCTGGACTTAACCGTCCAGGGGATCTTAACCTTTTCCCTCTACCTACCATTGGCTACACTGGTTGGGGCTGATAGGAGTTGGAGTACAACAACACCTACAGCACACCATGTAAGCTGCTTCTTCACCAATTTCCCATCCCTCTCCAGCTTTCAATATTCTGTGGCGACTGGGTATGCTCAGTGTTCATTTGGTTGTTTTGAGTGTTCTCTCCCTCCATTTTACTTTTTACTTAACTTTGGTAAGTCTCAGGGCTACCTCTTATATCCCTGCCTGATCACTGAGACTTTTGGAAGAATCTCTGGTTCAGATGCACAGCTCGTAAGTACTGAAACACATGCATTTAGTGCTGTGAAAGCAAACCTGTGAAACTCCCTCCCAATTGAGATTACACAGGCACCCACCCACCCACTTTTACTGACCTTCTGGTGCATGGCTTTCTTATTCCATCAAACATTTTAAGATAGTTTCGTGTTTATGTTCAGTTTTATAATGAGCTTTTAACTGTTTTATTTTCTAGGGTTTAAAAATTCATTTATTTAATTTGTTCACAACATGAAAATACATAATAAAAACACAAAATACATAATAAAAACAAAGCAAACCAATAAGCCCTCCCCTTTGTATTATTCTCTGTATTGTTTATTTTTATGTACACAGCTTAGAAATTCTAATGATTAAGCAGTGTATATATTATTTTTATTGATTTTCCAAATTATTAAGCAGTATATGCAAGTCTGCTGACACCCACCCCCCGCCCCCCCGCCCTCTTCATGGATGCTGTTTTGGCTATGGGAGTGCTATCTAGCTAGGCAAAAGTTGCCGCTGCTCATTGCGGGACGCTTAAGCACATGTTCAAAGCGTTCTCCGGTTTGACACACGTCCTGGGCTCTTGTGGCTTTTCAGCTGCACTCCCACCCAACTTAATATTGTACTTCTCCTACTCCTACTCCCCCCATTCCATGAGTTCCTGAGTCAGATTTCCCTAGGATCCATGCACTAAATAATTAACTCACAAAGGGCAAGTATGGATTATTTTATTTTCAAAGCAGCCCAGGCATAAGCCTAATCATCCTTGCTCATTCAAGCCTCTTTCTGGATGTTGGCAGCGGGGTGGGTAGGTCAGGAAGAGGTGGAGAAACTCCCCAGTAGGACATTTGAGAGAAGGGAGCTCTGCTCCACTTGGAAGCTCTGCTCGAAGAATCAATTACATGCATGTTTTACAGAGCCCCACCGAGATCACTGGGGTTTATTCCCACTTAAGAGAGCAATGGATGACAGTCTCTATGTAAAATGTTGGCGTTAAAGCACTGCTGTGCAGCCCAGAATGTTCCATCCGAAGCACAGGATGCTGGGATTTCATTTTAACACCCACACATTGTTAAAATTCTTCTAACCAGATTGCTAAAGAACACTGAAAACAAGCCTTTTATTGTGCTTAAAATGGCATGCTCCTAAAGGAGAAAAAAAAATCCTTCTACAGACTGGGGTGGGCAAAACTGTCAAATTCTTCAGATTCTCATTTTTCTGGTCTTAACATCAGTTATCCACATTTGCAGATTTTTCTTGATGCAAAGGAGAATTCCCCCTAATACACACATGCATGTATGTATGCATGCACGCATGCATGCAGTTTTATAGAACATGCAAATTTTTGCAAAGCAAATTTCCTCTAATACAGTGGTGCCTCGCAAGACGAAATTAATTCGTTCCGCAATTTTTTTTTGTCTTGCGAAGCACGGTTTCGGAAAAGTTTTGGAAAAGCTTCAAAAATCACCAAAGTCTTCAAAAACCTCAAAAAAGGCTACCACACCGCGTGCTATGAGTTGCTCCTCGAAGTCAAGTCGCAACTGTATTAACGGTGTTAAGAAAAAGGAAACAAACTTGCAAGACGTTTCTGTCTTGCGAAGCAAGCCCATAGGGAAAATCGTCTTGCGAAGCAACTCAAAAAACCAAAAACCCTTTCGTCTTGCGAGTTTTTTGTCTTGCGAGGCATTCGTCTTGCGAGGTACCACTGTATAATGCATTTTAGTGGGAGGGTTTGTATGTTGAATTTTGAAGGATGGCTGTGTTTTGGTTCATATACTGTTTCAAAAACGGCGAAATGGGGTTTCAGGAAGGGTTTTCCCACAGCCCTACCTGGAAACACTAGAGATTGTGCTTGGGACCTTTTGCATGTAAGGCAAATGCTCTGAGCCATAATCCTTCCCCAAAGGACGGCCCTACCATTAGGCAGAGGGAGATAGCTGGTGCTTGGGCGGGGTGAGCAGCAGTGCCAAGGTATTAGGGGATAAGGCTGTATGTTCTTCTATAGGGAGAGTTTTAGCCATCTCTCTTTAATGTTACAGCCTTTTTTAAAAAAAAGTTATCTGTTTTGGGGCCCCTTAGGGATGCGGGTGGCGCTGTGGGTTAAACCACAGAGCCTAGGACTTGCCAATCAGAAGGTCAGCGGTTCGAATCCCCGCGACGGGGTGAGCTCCCGTTGCTCAGTCCCAGCTCCTGCCTACCTAGCAGTTCAAAAGCATGTCAAAGTGCAAGTAGATAAATAGGTACCGCTCCAGCGGGAAGGTAAACGGCCTTTCCGTGCGCTGCTCTGGTTCGCCAGAAGCGGCTTAGTCATGCTGGCCACATGACCCAGAAGCTGTACGCCGGCTCCCTCAGCCAATAAAGCGAGATGAGCGCCGCAACCCCAGTCGGCCACGACTGCACCTAATGGTCAGGGGTCCCTTTACCTTTACCTTTAGGACTAAAAAGGTAAAAGTACTTAGAATTAACAAATAAATAGAAATAGTCCAAGTCATCTGTTGTGATCTACATGGTAGTGAAATGTAGAGGATTTGGTACCATGCCCAAAAACCTTAAAACCATGGCTGCGATAAGTTTTTGCTTGAACCTAGACTAGCATTTGTCAGTCATCCCTGCTCAGCAACGTGACCTGGCAGTGACCTTCCAGAGTTTCAGGCCGGATTTTTCTCCCAGCCCTAACCTTCTGCATGCCAAGCAGGTGCTCTTATCACTGAGCTATGGCCCTTCCCTTAGTTGAAAATTCATAATATTCAGTATAAAGGCAGTTTCCTATGTTCCATTCCGGACGTGCCTGCTTCTCTGATATCTAACCCACGAAGAAAACAGTTTACCCAAGTTAATCATGCGTAGCAATCCTGTCCCTGTTTGCAGGACCCAGTCCAGTGCGTTAAGGTCAGGCCTAGATTTTCCATTCACTGCTGCTTTTCCTGTATGTTGTTTATAGACCCTGCTGGTTTCCTGCCTCCCCCCTCCCCCTCCCCGCTCCTCCCTCCCTTGTCAATTAGAGCATTTTTCTGATCACTCTGAGTGCAGTGCAAGAGAAAACTAGGGCTTTAAAAAAAGCATTTAAATATCCAGGACATGTGACAGTTAAGAAGAGATGCCAGCTGCCACAATGTTCTTGGGAAGCAAGAAAGAGAGAAAGTTTATCTAGGGGGGTGGGGTGATCTTAAGTACTTTCCAAAAAAATAATTAAAATGAATTGAAACACAACCGATCTACCTTGGTGCAGCTAGTTAGCTTCTGCACACACTTGCATACCTCTCTCGGCCCTCCTCCAGGTTTGCAAGAGACACATTTCATTCCCCCCCAATTTTTTTGTTCATTTTATAATACAAATAAACAATACAAACAGAAATAGAAACAATACAAACAAATTCTTGTCTTATCCTTATTTTTTCTAAACATTGTTAGAAGTCCCCCCATCTGATTTTCATTTTACCTCATCTTTAGCAGTTTTATATATCATAATTTGTAACCATTTTTTTATCACACTTAAAAGGTAAAGGAAGGGACCCCTGACCATTAGGTCCAGTTGTGGCCGACTCTGGGTTGTGGCGCTCATCTCGCTTTATTGGCCGAGGGAGCCGGCATACAGCTTCCGGGTCATGTGCCCAGCATGACTAAGCCGCTTCTTGTGAACCAGAGCAGCGCACAGAAACGCCGTTTACCTTCCCGCCGGAGTGGTACCTATTTATCTACTTGCACTTTGACATGCTTTCAAACTGCTAGGTTGGCAGGAGCAGGGACCAAGCAACGGGCACTCACCCCGTGGCAGGGATTCGAACCGCCGACCTTCTGATCGGCAAGTCCTAGGCTCTGTGGTTTAACCCACAGCGCCACCCACGTCCCTCTATCACACTTACTTTTACCATAATAATCTTCACATGTTATCACTTACAAATAAAATACACTATCTTCTACTTCTAACCCTACAGCCTGTATCCACTTCCGAAGCTATTCTAAGATTTAAATATTAAAATATTTTTTCAAATATTCTTTAAACTTCTACATTTCAGCCTGCCAAAAACACCCAGGCACAGTGCAAAACAGGGCTGGTGAGAGATGAAGTATGGGGACAAGAGACCCAACTGAGGAGGAGTATGGGCTTGGGAGAGCCCCAAGGGCCAGGTGGAGACCCATGGAAGGCAGCATTTGGCTCCTGAGGATGAGGTCCCACAATTTGATGTACCTGGGGGAAAGACCCTCCACCAACCCCACCTGTGCGGAATCCTGGCTAATGTTATAGGCAGGTTTAGACCACAGCGCCACCCGCATCCCAGCTTCCTTATTAGTGCATTGCAATTTTCCAGTGCTTAGCCCAGGCGCAAAATAGACCATGTCCCACTCTCCTTCGCATTGAAGTGACCCCTACCCCTGGGTGGTGGAACACCTTGTATCCTAGTAAAAGCCCCTTCTTTTTCATCCAGAAACCACAAATGTCACTCTGTCCTTTTGATTTTATTGCAGGCATCCAAGTTACGCTGATCGAGGCTCCAACCTAAGGCCAGGACGGCGACATGAAAAACGACAAGGTGAGCCCCCCTACCCCACTCCTGCCCCCTGCAGTCTCAGGAGAAATCTGTTTCTTCCTCATATTATTGATCTGTGAATATGAATGTTGCATTGCTGTACTGCACCAGCAGCAGGGAATCTTTTTCAGCCTGTACGGCCTCATTCCCTTCTGCACAAAGAGTTTCCAAGTGCCACATAGAATCATAGAACTGTAGAGCTGGGAGGGTCAACTAGTCCAACCCCCTGCAATGATGGAATCTCACGCAGATCATACATGACAGGTGGCAATCAAACCTCTGCTTCAAAACCTCCAAGGAAGGAGAGTCTGCCACCTCTTGTGGAAGTCTGTTCCACTGTCAAAACAGTCCTTATCATCAGAAAGTTCTTCCTGATGTTTAGTTGGAATCTCCTTTCTTGTAACTGGAATCCACTGGTTTGAGTCCTACCCTCCAGAGCAGGAGAAAACAAGCTTGCTCTATCCTCCGTGCGACAGCCCTTGAGATATGGGAAGATGGGTATCATCATTTCCTCTCAGTCTCCTCTTTTCCAAGTTAAATATACCAATAGAATCATAGAATCATAGAGTTGGAAGAGACCACAATGGCCATCGAGTCCAACCCCCTGCCAAGCAGGAAACACCATCAGAGCACTCCTGACATATGGTTGTCAAGCCTCTGCTTAAAGACCTCCAAAGAAGGAGACTCCACCACACTCCTTGGCAGCAAATCCCACTGTCGAACAGCTCTTACTGTCAGGAAGTTCTTCCTAATGTTTAGGTGGAATCTTCTTTCTTGTAGTTTGGATCCATTGCTCCGTGTCTGCTTCTCTGGAGCAGCAGAAAACAACCTTTCTCCCTCCTCTATGTGACATCCTTTTATATATTTGAACATGGCTATCATATCACCCCTTAACCTCCTCTTCTCCAGGCTAAACATGCCCAGCTCCCTTAGCCGTTCCTCATAAGGCATCGTTTCCAGGCCTTTGACCATTTTGGTTGCCCTCCTCTGGACACGTTCCAGTTTGTCAGTGTCCTTCTTGAACCCAGCTCCCTCAACCGTTCATGAGGCTTGGTTTCCAGGACTGTACCAGAGGCAAAAATGAGGAAAGGAAAGAACATAAAGAACACCTTTCTCCTGTAGGCTTTCATATACACCAGGGGTCAGCAAACGTTTTCAGCAGGGGGCTGGTCCACTGTCCCTCAGACCTTGTGGGGGGCCGGACTATATTTTGGAGGGGGGGAAATTAATGAATTCCTATGCCCCACAAATAACCCAGAGATGTATTTTAAATAAAAGCACACATTCTACTCATGTATAAACACACTGATTCCCGGACCATCCACGGGCTGGATTTAGAAGGCGATTGGGCCAGCATCCGGCCCCTGGGCCTTAGTTTGCCTACCCATGATATACACATTCACATGTCCCTCGTCTCCCTCCCTCCAGATAAGCAAAAGCTTTTAGCGTTAAGGGAACACATTCCATACAGGCAAAAGCACCTGGGCTATGTAGCAGGGCCAGTGATGGCCATGGCTTGGGAAAGTGTGTGGCCTAGGGAGAGGTTCAAGGACCATATAGAGAGACCTGGATGGGCACATTTAGCTTCTGCACAAACTTTGTGAACTGCTTTGGGAGTGGCATGCTTCCTGCACCAGGAATTCATAGTGCCTTCCTATGGGCATGCTGCATAGACAGCTATGCAAAAGCTGCTGCTTCTCATTGCAAGGGTAAATGAACGTTAAATGTTAAGAGCCACATAAAGCACTTCTGGTTCTCTGGGTTTGCTGCACAGTTCAATCTGTTTATTCTCTTGCGGCTGTTCACCACCACACCCACTGTTCACCCCCCTCTCTCCCTGCCCAGCAGTTCCATTAGTTCCTTATTCAGATTTCCCCAGGATCACAACACTAAATAATTTACTCACAAAAGGCAATCATGAAGCACTTAAGTTTGTTTGTTTTCCAAAAGCAAGCTTTGCATAAATTTGTGCTTGCTGAGAGCTGTGGTCCAAAACCGGTTGATTAAAGTTGCTCTAGTAGGATGGGAAAGGGAAGGGGGAAATGTCTGGCCCCCTCCAGACTGGTGTGCAGCTTGTCTTTTGGGGGTGGGTGAATTCTGTGATCATTTTATGGAGGATAAGGCTATCACTGGTCACTAGCTGTGATGGCTACATTCTCCCTCCACTGAATACTAATTGATGGGGGTCACAGATGGGAGAATGCACTTGTGCTCAGGTCCTGTAGGGCTGCTGACTGGCCCCTGTAAGAGCAGGATGCTGGAGTAGATGGGCCCTTTGGCCTGATCCAGCAGGGCTCTTCACAGACGCAATAATTGTGCATTAACAGTGAATTCAGGCATGGCCCACCCATGAGGTAGATTGAAGCAGCTACCCTTGCTGCCGCTGCTGCTCAATCCCAATTCACAAGGCTTCAGGGGCAGCCTTGTGGGGAAGAAGCACTTTCTCAGGTGGTGAAGTGGGACAGGCCGCCCCTGAGTGGATGTATCCTGGACCCTCTGCACCCAGGATCAAGCAGATCTCCCGCTTCCCATGACTTGGAACCTGTAAATTTTGCTGCCACGTCAGACTCTTGGCTCCTGCTCTGCTTGCAAACAACTACTGTCCCCAAATCCTTTTTTTACGCAGGCTACTGCCAAGCTAGAAAGGTGCCCCGTGTGAACAGATGCCCTGGAGAGCAACCTGGCTCTTCTGACCATTTGCCCCCTCGTCCGCTCTTTGTGTCTGCAGGGCCAGCGCGCAGTTGTCTTTGTGGTTCTGTTTGGGCTGGTCATGCTGCTGATCATCTACAATGGCAGGAGCGAAGTCTTCCACTACACTGCGGTGAAAGTGAAGCCCCCGCTGCCTTCTAGCCTCAAAAAATGGGGGGTGAAGAACGGGTACCTGCCAGTCTCTGGAAACAAGGTATGGGAAGCGCGTGAACAATCAGCTGCCATTGTTTTGCAGGTCACAGAGAGGAAATCTCAGATCTCCCCAGATCTCACGCCCTCACTGGCTCTGCTGCACACTCAGGTGTTTCCTGCCTAACTAGAAAGTATCCTTGAACTCTTGGGAGAAAAAGGACTGTGTAAGCAACTAAGATAAAATGTACATTCATCGCCCCTCCCACTTTTGCCTCTGGTCCTGCCCACCACTGACATGTGTCAGAAGGGAGTGCAGCCCTCAGACTGAAAAAGGTTCCCTACCTCTATTTATTATTACATTTACATCACAAAAAATTACATTCTCCAAAACACCTCAAGGCATGCTATAGACACTCCCCCAGCCCCTTTTTATCCTCACAACAACCCTGTGAGGTTGGTTAGGCTGAGTTATTGGCCCAAGGTCTCCCAGTGGGCTTTGTGGCAGTAGATTAATCCTTGGTGGTCCTGGAAAGGGGAGTGGGCGGGGAGGGATCTTGAGAAATTCCATAATTTCTGGCTCGTCACCAGCCACTGTACCCTTCCCTCTAAACTAGAAGGATGGAATGATGGGTAAGGAAATCTTGCCGTTAAGAATTATCTTGGCAGCTGCTGGTAGCAAGCAGCCGCAGAATGGCAGAGGAGTGATTCTGAAGCGGCTGTATGGGAAATTGATTCTCAACTTCTGCTGATTTGTTCTCAAATGATTTTTTCTTTTAGATAGAGTTTTAGAGGTTAGCTGTTTTAGACGTTTTATCTGCCATTTTCATCTTGGATAATATCAACATGGTATTATTTTATTGGCTTTAGATATTGTTAGCAGTCTTTGAGAAGATGTTTTTAAATGAAGACATTAAATGAAGAAATGTAAGAAAATAAAAAAAAAATGACAACGCAAAAAGTCAAAAAAACTGTGGAGAACACGAATGCTATGCAGAATGGTGATTTGGAGACTTGACAAATCGTATTATTGCATAAGCTTTCATGGTCTAGGGCCATTTCCTACAATGGAGTATGATCCTCGGTTCTTATGTGTATACGGTTCTCAGAACTTGTCTGATCCTGGAGGTTGCCGAAAGAGAGAGGAAGAAAAGATTCTATCAGTGTGTTCCATGCCATGCATAATTGCATATACTTCTAATATGAGAACCCATTTTACTCACCATTCCCCAAGGCTAACACACACATCCTGCCCCCAAAGAAAAATCCCTTTCTTCATAATAGTTCTCTTACGGTTCTGCAATATCCTTTTTGAGGACAGGATATCAGAATTTTCCCTTGCGCTCTGGCTTCCATCACGGTGATCCGTTGCACCAGAAGCAGTTTAGTCATGGCAGTCCTTTACCTTTTCTTTAAATCAGAACTTGTATACAATATTCCACACTTGATTGCATCATGGTCTCATGGTCCATAGGTGGCTGCTGAATTCTGAACAGTTTTGCTTTGAATGATAGAATAGCATGTTTTTGAACGCTCTGTCTAAGAATACAAAACAGCCTGCCTGCACATAAAAAAACCCATAGTGTATCAAGGAGAAAGGTCCTTTCCCCTGACATGCTAGTTTTCTGTGTTCAATGAGTTTGTTGTTGTTTTTAACATAGAGGAGCACTGAAAACATGATCCCACCCAATTTGCTAGCAGTGCGAAGTGCCACACAATGCAGCACTGGAGCCAACTTCAGGGGGGCGTAGGTGCCACGGCATCCCCAACAATATATTTGTGAGCCCCCCACAAAGTCGATGGGTAAAGTTGAAGCCCTTCATTGTGCACCCACAATCTTTGGTGCCAGATGACATCTATACAATGCACGAAGGACTGTACCACCTGACATACAAATCAAGCAACAGAGTTGGTTGCTGTTATGGTGGTTATTTAGTCGTTTAGTCGTGTCCGACTCTTCGTGACCCCCTGGACCAGAGCACACCAGGCACTCCTGTCTTCCACTGCCTCCCGCAGTTTGGTCAGACTCATGCTGGTCGCTCCGAGAACACTGTCCAACCATCTCGTCCTCTGTCGTCCCCTTCTCCTTGTGCCCTCCATCTTTCCCAACATCAGGGTCTTTTCCAGGGAGTCTTCTCTTCTCATGAGGTGGCCAAAGTATTGGAGCCTCAGCTTCAGGATCTGTCCTTCCAGTGAGCACTCAGGGCTGATTTTCTTCAGAATGGATAGGTTTGATCTTCTTGCAGGCCATAGGACTCTCAAGAGTCCGCTCCAGGACCATAATTCAAAAGCATCCCTTCTTCGGCAATCAGCCTTCTTTATGGTCCAGCTCTCACTTCCATACATAGACGTAATAGCGTAAGTGTAGCATCCTGTTCTCACAGTAGCTGAACAGATAGATGCCTGTGGGGAAGCAGCAAGCAGGATCCAACCACAGGTGCCCTCTCTCTCCCCTCATGTGGTTTGCAGCCACTGGGATTCAAAAGCACTGCTGCCTTGAACTGTGGAAGAAGAGCAGCGCCATCATGACCTGTCACCATTGAAAGCCTTCTCCTCCATGGATTTATTTAATCCTCTTTGATAGCCATCTAATTTGTTGGCCATCAATGCTTCTGGTGGGAGGGAGTTCCATAGTTTAACTATGCGCTGCGTGAAGAAAGACTTCCTTTTATCTGTCCTGAATCTTCCAACATTCAACTTCATTGGAGGTCCTTGAGTTCTGGTGTTATGAGAGAGGGAGGAAAACCTTTCTCTATCCACTTTCTCCATACCTTTCCCGCCCCGACCTGGCCACAGTGATCCATGCGATGGGCACCTCCAGGCTTGACTACTGTAATTCGCTCTACGCGGGGCTTTCCTTGAAGCTGTCCCAGAAACTCCAGCGGGTGCAGAATGCTGCAGCGAGGCTCCTCACGGGGTCTCTGCCATGGGAGCATATTCACTTAGTGCTTTTCCAGCTGCACTGGCTCCAGGTGGAGTACAGGGTCAGATTTAAGGTGCTGCTTTTGACCTTTAAAGCCCTTCACGGCCTGGGACCCTCGTATCTACGGAACCGCCTCTCCTGGTATGCCCCACGGAGAGCCTCAAGGTCCATAAATAACAACACCCTAGTGGTCCCGGGCCCTAAGGAAGTTAGATTGGCTTCAACCAGAGCCAGGGCCTTTTCAACTCTGGCTCCGGCCTGGTGGAACGCTCTGCCTCATGAGACCAGGGCCCTGCGGGATCTGATTTCTTTCTGCAGGGCCTGTAAGACAGAGTTGTTCCGCCTGGCCTTTGGCTTGGAATCAACTTGATCCCCTCCCCCTCTTCCTTTTTCTTTTCTCCTTCTGTGATGGAACTCCTATTTGGGGACTTCCTTGGCTTTTTTCTGGCCCACGTAGGACCAGTCTGGATAGTTGGCCTTGGTGAAGATTTGACGTTTTCATCCCCCCAAAAGTTTTTGATTTGAGTTCCTACTGTAATGAGGCAGCATTTAAATGTTGTATTTTAATCTTGCTTTTAAGTTGTATTTCAATCCATTGTTTTTATACCGGTGTTAGCCGCCCTGAGCCTGGTCTTGGCAAGGGAGGGCGGGGTATAAATAAAATTTAATAATAATAATACTCTTATTTCCCCCGCCCCGCCCCCCCAGACTTTGGATCATCACTGCAGCCAATGCGTGATCGTCACCAGTTCCAGTCACCTGCTGGGGAGCAAGCTGGGAGCAGCAATCGACCAGTCGGAGTGCACAATTCGCATGAACGATGCTCCCACGACTGCCTACGAAGCGGATGTTGGTAACAAGACGACCTTCAGGGTGGTGGCCCATTCAAGTATCTTCCGGGTCCTGAAGAGACCACAGGAGTTTGTCAACAAGACTCCGGACACCATTTTAATCTTTTGGGGGCCACCAGTCAGGATGCAGAAGAGCTTGCTGAAGGTCATCCAGCGCGTCAGCGTGTCATTCCCCAACATGACGGCCTTCGTAGCTTCCCCCAGGCGCATGAAACAGTTTGATGACTTGTTCAAAAAAGAGACAGGGAAGGACAGGTAAATTCACCTGCAGTTGTCCCTCCAGCATAGTTTCTGCAGCTCCTCTTCCAGGCAAGCCCTGCTGTGGGGAGGGAGGAAAGATAGGTTGATTGTATCTTTTCCTTTTAACTTACAAGAGGGAGGTGTCTGCAGATTCTGGGGAATCCCAAGATTTGCAGAAGTAGAAGAAAAATGGTGTTAATAGGTTAATTGGGGGGGGGGGCTAAATCCTAGAAATGAAGAAATGCTAGGATATGGATTAATTGGGATATGGATTGAAGTATGGGGTGGGATGCGGGTGGTGCTGTGGGTTAAACCACAGAGCCTAGGACTTGCTGATCAGAAGGTCGGCGGTTCGAATCCCCGCGACGGGGTGAGCTCCCATTTCTCGGTCCCTGCTCCTGCCAACCTAGCAGTTCAAAAGCACGTCAAAGTGCAGCGGTTCAAAAGCACATCAAAGTACAGTGGTACCTCGGGTTACATATGCTTCAGGTTACAGACTCCGCTAACCCAGAAATAGTGCTTCAGGTTAAGAACTTTGCTTCAGGATAAGAACAGAAATCGTGCTCCGGCAGCGCAGTGGCAGCAGGAGGCCCCATTAGCTAAAGTGATGCTTCAGGTTAAGAACAGTTTCAGGTTAAGAACAGACCTCTGGAACGAATTAAGTACGATGGGACGCGGGTGGCGCTGTGGGTAAAACCTCAGCGCCTAGGACTTGCCGATCGCATGGTCGGCGGTTCAAATCCCCGCGGTGGGGTGCGCTCCCGTCGTTTGGTCCCAGCGCCTGCCAACCTAGCAGTTCGAAAGCACCCCCGGGTGCAAGTAGATAAATAGGGACCCCATTGGGAAGGTAAACGGCGTTCCGTGTGCTGCGCTGGCTCGCCAGATGCAGCTTGTCACACTGGCCACGTGACCCGGAAGTGTCTCTGGACAGCGCTGGCTCCCGGCCTATAGAGTGAGATGAGCACACAACCCTAGAGTCTGGCAAGACTGGCCCGTATGGGCAGGGGTACCTTTACCTTTACCACTCTAGATAAATAGGTACCGCTCCGGCAGGAAGGTACACGGCGTTTCCGTGCGCTGCTCTGGTTCTCCAGAAGCGGCTTAGTCATGCTGGCCACATGACCCGGAAGCTGTACGCCGGCTCCCTCGACCAATAAAGCGAGATGAGCATCGCAACCTCAGAGTCGGCCACGACTGGACCTAATGGTCAGGGGTCCCTTTACCTTTACCTTATGGGCTGCAGAACTGCCAGACAAGGAATCCCTGGGCTGATTTATGCAAACCAGCCTGGCTTGCCTAGAGAAGAACCAATCTGTTAACATGGCGAAAGGGGCAAAAGGGAGTGAGATGTGTGTTTGAGCGGACACGAAAATGAAGTTATTGAGCAAGGGTTGCCAGGAAGGAGAAGGAGGAAGAAGAGCTGAGATCCATCTTGGGCTGGTTGCCTGCCCTGCTGCCTCTTGAAAGAACTATGCTATAAGATCTGGACTCCCTCCATGCAGACTGAAGGTGTAAATAGGTGAATAAACCACATTTCTTAAAGCCATGACAGTTTCTGCTGCGTCTGTCTCCAAAAGGGACACGGACCCTGTGTGGGTGCCTGGGACCCCGTTGGATCGGCAGAGAGAGGGGCAGGCACCTCCCACAAAAAACAATAAACCAGCCAAGTTAGGGTTGAGTGTGTGCTGAGTGATACAAGAATGCTGACTGGCTGTGGAGTATGGAGTGTGTGGAATGAAAAATTGATGTGAAACGGAATAGAGTGATTGGAATCCTCAACATTTTGTTGCAGGTCGGCATCTAATCTATATCAATCACTCACAGGTTGTGTTTGGATTTCCTTTCCTTTGAAAACCCCCCTCCTTTTGTTTCTCCCCGCTTTTGCAGAGTGACGTCACGGTCATGGCTGAGCACCGGCTGGTTCACCATGGTGATTGGCGTTGAGCTGTGTGACAAGATCCACGTCTATGGGATGGTCCCTCCCAACTACTGCATGTAAGTTCCTGCACTCTGCATGCTCCTTGTCAGTTTCGAAGGGGTGGGGGTTGCCCCAGAGCTGCCTCAATCTCTGCCTCTGCTTCTCTGCACCGCTCCCTGCTCACCAAACCCCAACCCACCCACCCCATCTCCGGTTCTCTTCCCAACAGCAGGAAGCCTCCGCCCCACAAGTTGCCCTACCACTACTATGAGCCGAAGGGTCCGGATGAATGTGCCACCTACATCCACAACGAGCAAAGTCGGAAGGGCCACCACCACCGGTTCATCACTGAGAAGCGGGTCTTTGCCAAGTGGGCGAGTCTCTACAACATCACCTTCTCCCACCCGAACTGGGACTGAAGCCCCCCGTGGGGTGGGGCAGAGGAGAAACCACACAAGTGCCAAACCCATGGACTTGCGGGGCAGTGGGGAGGAGCTTCTGGGGCACACGGCCCTCTCCACAACAGGAGGAGGGAAAGGGATGCCCTTGGTGTGAAGATAGCTCAAGGGCCAACGTTGCTCCTAGCCCCAGGCCTTCCGTGTGCCAGGCCGCCAGGCCGCTCAGCTGCTGTTTTAAATTTCCCACAATGCCCTTGGGCATTATGCATTGTATGACTCTGCTCCCCCTCCTCCCTTAATGACAGCTCACCCAGGGAAGCCCATGGTTTGAAAGCCCACCAGAGGGCTTGTATTAGCACATAAAACGACCCCTGTCGGATCAGGATGAGATCTCAGCACCTTGTATCTGCCAACCAGGTACTTCCGAGAAGCCTACAAAGAAGGGTGTGAAGGTGGCAGCCCTCCGCTGTGTTTTGCCTCCTGCTTGGAGTGGGGATACAAAGGTAGACTTCCTTTGTACATGGAGGTTCAGTTCTCAGCTGTCACGGTTAAGAGCTGTGGGCAGACCATGAATTTTACCTAGCCCTTTGTAACAGGGATGGGCAACCTTTTTGAGAGGGTCAAGGACAGCACTCCCTTGTGGGAGGGAGAAGTGGTTGCGGTGGTTGGGAGGGGAACTAAAATGCTGCTAACTTTTTAATAGGGACTTTTCACTTTTACCAAAAAAATAATAATAATTGCAAGGCAAATGTTGAAATGTGGAGAACTGGAGACTGGAAATAATGAGAAATTGAGAGAAACCAAAATCAACCCTAGCAAACCCACAAGTACCTGCTATGGCTCCTCTTTCCCCCACCCCCACAAACCTGCTAGCTCACCTTCCTACGCCAACTATTTGCATTACTAACAGAACATCTTGCAAATAGACCCAAGAGGGGATGGAAAAAAGAGTGGCACGGGGTGGAACAGATCGAAGATTTTGTTTTTATTCGAGGGAGGCAAGCCATGTGCCATTAGTCTGCTGTTTACTTAAGAAGCATGTTTGTGTTTTGTTTAGATTTTATTAAGCTTGCATCAGCTGGCCAAAATGAGCCCAGCCATAGGAGCCAACTCCTAGGGGCCGAGGTCTCTTCGGCCTTCCCTTAAGACATTTGATGGTGCTGGCATTGCCATTCAGATGGTCTGTGTGCACTACATCTTGTGATCAATTATGCAGGGCAGAGCTTACCTGCCCCCCCCCCCCGTTTTATTCAAGTTGGCACCCCTGAGCCCAGCCCTTTGAGAGGGAGGAAAGTAAAATGGAGAGAGCAAAGGTAGCCTCAGCTCAGTCCAGTGGTGCCTGGCGCCCAGGTGGGCAAAAGGCAGGTAGCCCAACAGAAGGGGGAATCAGAGCTAATGACTGGCAGAGCCAACTCATTCTAGTTCTGCAAGGGCAACATAGAGCCTAGAGAGAAAGAAGCTGAATGGAGCAGCCACCCTCTGGGTAGTTGTAGGTAAGAAGGAAAGGAGATGGGGTCTGGCTGGGGACAGGCATGAGGTTGATGGGGCAGTGCCCCTTTCACCCTGATGGACCAGCCTCCACTCATCTCATCCCTTCCCATTCACATCCTTACTCTGCAACTACCCCGTCCCAGAAACCGTACACTCCTCCCCACACTCATTTTTTCATCTGGTGGTACAGCCCTCATGTGGTAGCCCAGCCATTGTGCACAACTGTAGTTTTTAAAATAGTATCCCTCCACATATGGGACGTGGGTGGCGCTGTGGGTTAAAATACAGAACCTAGGACTTGCTGATCCGAAGGTTGGCAGTTCGAATCCCTGCGACGGGGTGAGCTCCCGTTGCTCGGTCTCTGCTTCTGCCAACCTAGCAGTTCAAAAGCATGTCAAAGTGCAAGTAGATCAATAGGTACCGCTCCGGCGGGAAGGTAAACGGCGTTTCCGTGCGCTGCTCTGGTTCGCCAGAAGCGGCTTAGTCATGCTGGGCACATGACCCGGAAGCTGTACGCGGTTCCCTCGGCCAGTAAAGCGAGATGAGCGCCGCAACCCCAGAGTCGGCCACGACTGGACGTAATGGTCAGGGGTCCCTTTACCTTTACCCCGCCACACACCACAGCATTTATCCAAAACTAAAATAGGACCAGGGACCAGGAAATCAGAAGTGTCAGAAATCAACGGGGACATATGGGCTGCTTCCACAACAGGACATTTATTGTGGAATAGCTACCCTTCGTTTGCTCACTTTTTATGGGGCATCTGCACAGGGCCATCTAAGCATGCTTCACCCATTTTGTTTCCCCCACAGAGCTCAGAAAATCCAACTTTTTAAAACACAGTGGAACAGTTCAGTCATGGATATAGCCAAGGGGGTTCAGGGGGGCAGTCCCCCAGTCATTAAAAATCAATACAAATCTGAGGTTCTTCCCCCCACCCTAACAAAAGCTTGCTCCCCCCCCAACAAAAATCCTGGCTATGCCCATGAGCTAGAAAAATAGGTCCTAGTACTCACCATAAAGTTGTTACAATGAACACCACACATTTTAACAACAACAAAAAGTGGTGGTGTTGATGCTTACCCCTGAGTACCCCCTGAAAAAACACACTGGAACAGCTGTGTAATTGCACCAGGTATAGATAATTCATTGCACAACTACAGTGGTACCTCGGGTTACACACAGGTTACAGACTCCGCTAACCCAGAAATAGTGCTTCAGGTTAAGAACTTTGCTTCAGGGTGAGAACAAAAATCGGGCTCCGGTGGCGCGGTGGCAGCAGGAGGCCCCATTAGCTAAAGTGGTGCTTCAGGTTAAGAACAGTTTCAGGTTAAGTACGGACCTCCGGAATGAATTAAGTACTTAACCCAAGGTACCACTGTACTCAGTAGCTTTCCTGGCTGGTTATGGCCTGGATACAATTTGCACAAGCCATTCCCTTCTGAATGGTATGCCTCTCCTCTCAAGGAATCAACTCCCCCGTGTTAACTTTTCCCTTTTCAAATATCAATGCCTTTATAACAATTTCTCTCCTCCCATTTCTCTGGGGTAAGAAAGGTTATAATCTAAGGTGCAGTGAGGACTGAAGGTATTTAATCCTTTCACTACCCCATAATGCTCCCAATTTAAATCTCCACAACAGTTGGAACTGGGGGGAAAGGGAACTGCCCAATTGACTACAAGATGTGGTTTAGGTTTCAGAAGCCTAGGAGCACAGTTGTGATTCCAATTCTCGTTTAAAGCTGGACAGCAACAATTTGGTGCTTCTGAGTCACCCATGTGTAGAAGCAGGTCCTGTGGCAGCAACTTTTCCCACTCAGCTGGACTCTTTTGTATTTGGCATGCAGAGAGGTTGTTTCCTCAGAGTTTGGACTGGGGCAGCTTTTCTCTGCTGCCACCTTTTGATCAGAAAGCCAACAATAACCTTGATGACCTCCTTATCACACAGCAATATCTTTTTGTTTGTACATGCATGGTGTCCGTGCAGCATGTGCACCCAGCAAGGGCAACGTTGCAATCTCATATTTTTACAAATTGAGGAAGGGTAGCAAAGTCATCTTACCCATAGGAAAACAACGATTGCTCTGTCCAGCTCAGTATTGTCCACACACAGTGGCAATGGCTCTCCAGGGTTTCAGACAGGAGTCCCTATCAGACCTAAATAGAGATGCTCAGGATGGAACCCTTGTCCTCCAACATACTGCTCTTCCACATGACACAGCAGATCAGAGAGGGCAAAGGAAGATGGATTCGTACCTCGGAAGTCAAACAGAATCCATTCCGGAAGTCCGTTCAACTTCCAAAATGTTTGGAAACCAAGGCGCAACTTCCTCCCCCCCCCCCCCAATTTTTTAATATTGATTTCCACACTTATCACATAAAAAAAGAAAAAGAAAAAAAGAAAAATATTACAATACCACAAAAATACACAAAACACACAAAAATGAATTTTAACTTCCAAATCCTAATTTCATTACATTGATAACTAACTTCCTCGAATCCCCTCTAACTGAATTTCATTATATCACCTATTTAGCAGTTCTCCAAATTCATATTTCTAATAATATAAACTTCTTTCATTTACTAACTTCTACTCCTTTATTGATATTTTAATCCTTAATATTTATTAATAACATAGTCATATTCTACCTCTAAGCCTAATTATTACTTCCAATACATTTCTCTTTATCTTATATTCCAATATTTAGCCAAATATTCTTTAAAGTTCTTCCAATCCTCTTGTGTCTCCTCTTCTTTCTGGTCGCGGAGTCTTCCAGTCAGGTCAGCCAGCTCCAAAAAGTCCACCATCTTCATCTGCCATTCTTCTATTGTTGGAATCTCTTGTGATTTCCAATTTTTGGCTAATAAAAGTCTTGCTGCTGTAGTGGCATACAAAAACAGTCTAACATCTTTTTTGGGCAATTCCAGTCCTATTATTCCAAGTAGAAAGGTTTCTGGTTTTTTAATAAATGTATTTTTTCAACATTTTTTTCAACTCGTTATATATTTTTCCCCAGAAGTCTTTCACTTTAGGACACGTCCACCACATCTGATAGAAAGTACCTTCTTTTTCTTTACATTTCCAGCATAAATTATCATTTGTATGATACATCTTTGCTAATTTCAATGGGATTAAGTACTATCTATACAACATTTTCATAATATTTTCTTTTAATACAGTACATGCAGTTAACTTAACCCCTTTCTTCCACAGTCTTTCCCAATCTTCCAACATTATATTGTGCCCAACATCTCTTGCCCAATCAATCACCACAGATTTAACTTGTTCGTCCTTTGTATGCCATTCTAACAACAAATTATACATTTTGGAGAGATGTTTAACATTAGTGAACCAAGGTGCAACTTCCGATTGGTTGCAGGAAGCTCCTGCAGCCAAATGGAACCCACAGAACCCAAAGAACGTTTGCAAACCGAAACACTCACTTCCAGGTTTGCGGCGTTTGGGAGCCAAAACGTTCGAGTCGCAACACATTCGACTTCCGAGGTACGACTGTACTGCTGAATGCAAATCCTAGATAGGCTTGTTCACCAGTATCTTTTTAGGGTACTATCATACCCTGTAACCTGCCTTAAGCAATAATGCTCTCGTGTGATTTAGCATCTATCTTTACCCAGCTGTAGATTGTACCAGTACTATACGCTACTTGATAGCTGAAGGGTACTGGGAAGGAAGGCAAGCTATCGCTGGTCTTTGTTTTTGTCTTTTGCCCATTTCGAAGCCAATTTACAAATGCTGAGAAGTGGCAGTAGCTATCAAGAGAGGTCGCACAGGGTAATTAAACAACACTGATTTGTGTGTTTGTATGCCACATTGATGCACAGGTCCTTGGATCTCAAATTCTGGAAGGATAGATAAGATCGAAATGATGATCTTCCATTCTTAGGCCACCCATCCTTTGAGTCATGCTTCCCTGAATTTTGAAATGCAGTTCTCAAAGTAAATCATGTTTGTAAAATGTGCATATGGGGGAAACTCTATAATGAAATGCACATATTAGCAGTGGCGGAGCTTCATTCTCCGGCAACAGTGGCGGAGAGCAGGCAGGGGCGTGGCTGGCGCACGTCCTGGGGGGTGTGGCACACTGCCTGCAGGGGGTGGCACGCATCCTGGGGGCGTGGCGTGCCACCTGCAGGGGTGTGGCACCCAGCACAGGGGGGGGGGCAGCTGCAATGGCACCCCACCAGAATCGTGGTGCCGGGGGCAGTGCGCTCCCCTCCTCCAGTGCATCTTAGTAATTATAACATACAAAAATGCATTCTGTTAGGGGAATTTGCTTACAAACCATGTTTGTGTTAGGGGAAGCTGCATACAAAAACTTTTATATTGCAAGGAAGTCATGCTAAAATGCAGGTGATTTTTCTGTGAGGATTGGGGGGGGCAGAATTGCAATCTGATGTGGAAATGTGCAGAGCTGAACTGAGGAATGAGAATATAAAAAAATGGGGAAATGTGAGAAACCAGATTTGCCTGTCCCTTTGTTGAACCCCCTCCCTTTTGGCAGAGCCACCTATTTACGTACATATTCCCCTCTTGATTTCATGTATAACACCTGCTGTCAGGGCCAGCCCAAGACATTTTGGCACCTGAGGCGAACCACAAAATGGGTGTCCTACCCACCAGGGAAGAAGGGGTGAGTGAAGATCTACATCTGGAACAAGTGGGGAGGAATCAAATTCCTTTCCTGAAAGCTGAAGTGGGAATCAAAAGCCATTACTGGGGGAGTGGGGGGTGAGGGCACTTTGAATCACTTGGTGGGAGGAGACCCCAGAGGGCAACTCCTAGCATTTCCTTCCTCAGGGTGAGGAGACCAGCAGCACCTATTTGCCAAGAGGCTGTTGTGCAGGTGGCATTTGAGGGAGAAGGAGGCTGTGAAAGAGGCAGAGTGCCAAGGAGTGTGCTGCAGCCATCACAGTGGCAGCGGGCAATGCATTCCTGGGAGGCCAGATCTGCCCCTGTGGATCCTGCCGCCTGAGGTGGTTATCTCACTTTGCCTCATAGGTGGGCTGGCCCTGCCTGCTGTAGGGCAGGTGAGTGTGGCTTCACCAAAACGGCATTGTGGGCTTAATGGGAAGGCCTGTTGTGCTATGTTAGGCCCATTGGCTGGTGGTTCCCCACTGCTTAGTGTTACAGAACAAGAAGATTGGTAGCTAATCCAATTGTCCCATGTATTCACGTATTTCTGAAATCTAAGGCACGTACAAATCACCATGGTTTGTCACAAAGCTGCTGCCTATTCTGTGTTGAATACACAACTGTTTCCTAGCCTTACAGAACCACCATAGAATTAGG